TGCGAGCTCCTAATTTAATTTCATTGAATCTAATTGCAACGCAGACGATTGTGATTTCCAATATTGGAACAGTCGTAAGTAAGTAATAGACTACTAATAAGTTCGCGAATAAACGGACCGATGTTTTCGCACTGAACTTTAGTAATTAATCGAGCGCGGCGAAAGAACGGGCGGGGAGTAGGTGGCTAAAAGCGGTCGCGACCGTTCCAACAAACTCTCTTCGTCCACCCATTTCTCACTCCGCGAACCCTTTTCCACCAAGCTCTCCCTTGCAGTATTTCATCTCACTTTCCCGTTACTTCCGCTTATCCCCCATGTGCGTTCTCGTATACATTAAATTGCGTTCATATATTTCAACAAGGAATTCAACCAGATGCAAAAAAAGGTCTAATTACAGCAACGAAAGAACTCGGGAATAATTAATTTTTCAAATGATATTAATTTACTTGGGTTCTTTTTCGCAGAGAAATGCAGACGGGAACGCTCTTGATGCTCCTTTCGCGCGTCGTACGAACGTTCGTACGAAGTAGTCAAATTCCATTTTTCGCTGATAGTTTTTCCCGAGCGCGGAGTGATTTTTAAAGGCGCGGATTCAGAAAAGTCCTCATATCGTCGGAGAAGATTCTACCGCACTTTTCGCGGGCCATATACGCGAGAGCCTGAGTCAGCGGGAGCAAGTTCCGAGGACATTTAAATTTATTTGGGGATAGCGTTGCCGCGGTCGCGGAAAATAACGTGAAAAACGAATCGAGCGCGGCGGAGAACGACTTCCTCATCTCTCGTCGCGGAGCGCGGGAAAACGTCTTTTTTTTTTCACCGCTCGTCGCAAAGCGCGACTGCACTCAATTGAATCAAGTGCGCGAGCTTAAGAAGATGAACTCGAGTTCATCTTCTTAAGCTCGCATACTTGATTTAATTGAATCAGCCGACATAATCCATTTTCTCCGAACGGCGATCTGAGTCACGATCGTCGGTTAATTCACGTAATTGCGACGAGACTCCGCTTGCCAGCTTGTAAATAGACCGGGATGAGGCAATTCGTCGCACAACCGGCGAGCAATCTAGCGCGTTGAAGAGAGTGACAACGTTCTTTTCTCGCGCGCGGCCGTCGTTTTGGAGAAAGTCGAATTTTCGCCTGACATGCATACGGCTGAGCGTAAGTGTATCTGTATTATTTATTATTTCTTCATTACTGTAACGTCATCCACACAGTTCAACGCGGCTCCAACTCGTTCTTTTTAACGTCAGTGTTTTCTTGACCATACCTGGCATTTTTAACAATACAGAAAATTTATTGCGAAAAATATTACCTCAGCCAGGGTTTCAACCTCCCTTTCCTTTTAATTCAACATGTTATACTCACTTGCGCCGTGTTTTACGTACTACCGTCTCATAATTTACTATAATTTTACACTATTGACTGCGTAATTCTCGATATATATTTAATTTGCGAGTCCATCCACGTCTTAAATTGTACTTATCTCTTTTTTATAATGAGGATGATTCAGTAAGGACCGAAACGTATATATATGTAATTAAAATATTTTTATTGGACACTACAACCTTGTTCAGGCTCTGAGCCTTTTCGTTTATTACTTGATTCTATCATACGAGCCATTGTTATTTCTATTATTTATTATTTCTGTTTGTGTGGCTTGTGCGTTTATAAAGGTCGTAGTAGTATGATTAGAAAGAACGGAGGTTTCTTTAAATTATTTGTTCTTTATTACGTTAAAAGTCGTCGACGCGAAAGAGGGAGCAACTAATGTTTGCTCTCGTTGTATTATCGGTTTCGTTGATAATTGGAAAATCGCTCCCCGCTTATTTACTTACAGCAGAAATCGTCCATTTATCAAAAGCGTCTACTGTATATTCTTTATTCGTAACTGATAACATCATTAAACCGAATTGGCAGGAATTATGTTAGAAATATGATTGAATAATTAATTGTTACAGCTGTACTTTACTTTGCGAAAGAACGAAGGTAACTTCTGTTCAAGTTTGATCCACAGAAGTAAAAGAACTGTTCTATAGCCATAACGAATGTTTAGTGAGGAAGGATCCAGGGCCGCTTTGACTCAGTCGCGATCGGTTTATCAGGCATCACGTTGTTTACGCATTTGCGAGCAATTTGGCGAACTTGAGCCAACATAATATATTTATCCAGGAATCGCGCGGAATGGAATTTGATCGGTTATTTGTGCCGTAATGACCGGTCGCGGGCAGCAACGATGTTTGCAGAAAGAACGTACTTATTTGCGCCCATTACAGCTCGAGCCGTATCTCCGGCGCGCGTTTTTTGTAATAAGATTTATCGGGCCGTAGGCAGGCGCCGTGGATGTATCTCGCGCGGTCTGCTTTTGGTTAATAACACAGCAGGTCGGGACGGAGCGGCAGATACAAATTGCGAGCGGTGCCGGCGAGCGGGCGAGCGGGCGATTGAACGAGCGCGAACTCGCGGACGCGAACAATGGAGGGAATGATGCCGCGCCGGCGATTGTGTGTCGGGCGCGCTTTGGAAAAATGTAAACGGAACGGTTTGCCCGGCTCGGGGAGTTCAAATGGTACGGTAACGGACTGACGCTGACAAGTTTGCGATCGATAATCCTATAAATCCGCCGTCGTCGCCGCCGCTGCCGCCGCGCCGCCGCTTTCTCTTCCTCCTCTCGCTCCTCTTCCTCCCTCGTTCGGGCGCAAATACAATCGATGCGCTTGCCGCCACGCGCCAGTCTTTTCGCTAATCGTCGCCCCCATTTCTCCGAAGCTTCAATCGGGGAAAGAGTTTGTGGCGCGTGAAATGTCTATTTTTGAAGTTTTGGCTCTATTGCGCGCTAATCGCTCTTATCGTTGTGTAAAATTTAGCGGAAAGAATAATACGTTTACTTGGCGGAGCGATTCAGTTATAATAAGAGGAATTCAAATACGAATGATTATAATATGCCACTTTTCGTTCTCCTTTAACTTTGTATACTCTTTCCATACTCGGTAAACAGCACGATTGTTTGTCGATCTTAAAAGACAGTCTTTTGTTAGCTCGACAAGTAAAATTCACGCACTTTAAGGGAATCCTAAAGCCGTCTGTTTTATCGACATTCTTTGTTAGAAGTAATCTTTTAATTGACTTTGTAGAAATGCAAAACTCTTTTACGGAATTGAAATACGCAGCAAAATCTAGACTATGTTGGCCGATTTTATATCAAAAACGAAAAAAAATTAAAAATTTTACTTCCACTCGTCTTTTACTGGTGTTACCTCGCTCGTGCTCGCGCGCGGAAGACCGCGGCACCCGAGAGCGATTGACGCGAGCTTAATTAAGGTAATAACCGCGCGAGTCATCATCTAATTAGTACGCGGGGCTCTCTTCGCGAGCGTGGAGCCGATTTTTATCGGTTCGAAGGGTACGTCGGTGACAAAAAGTCGGCGAGCAGCGCGGGATCCTTATCATCGGGGGAGCTATTAAGTCGTTCCGCGCGTCGGCGTGCGGAAGAGCAGCATCCGCGAGAAACGCTGTAACGGGGGATTACGAGCTTGACACCGGTACCGCTCGGCCCGTCTTAATAGCTTCATTCGATCGCGAAGGGCCCGAGAGGTAATTGATGGCCCTTCATTGTGTCCCGTCGCCCGTCGGCGCGGCGAGCCGTTGGCAATAAGGGCCAATGTCCCTCTCTCGGGGTGGGAAATTACCCTCTTGTGCGTTATTAATGGTTTCGTAAGCGCCGTCCTGGTCAATAAGTAACCGGCTAGCCAAATTCCTGTCACGTACGCGTCCCGACGTCGGTGTATTATGCTTCTTCGCCGCGCGCGCCGCACCTTCGACTACGTTTTCGACAAATTCCCGTATGAGCGATCAAACGCGTCCCGATGTTCCCTCATACATACCGCTGACCCTCTCAAGTTTTTGGTAGCTTTTCCGTAAAAGATGCAAGTTGATTGGCTACACGTGTTTTGGAACTAGAACTTGGACACAGTTCTTGGATCGTGGACGCAAGGCTTAAGGCCTGGTCTACAATGAGTCGTTAGTCAGAAGTCGGAACTATATGTTGATCCTTTTCCTTTCTGGGTGGAAGAAAAAGGATCGACATATAGTTCTGACTTTCGACTAACGACTAACAACCCATTGTAGACCGGGCCTAAGAAATACCGATGCTATAGATGACTTAGAAGCCTTACGACTTTTTACGCTACAAATGTCTAAACCCGAGACGTCGCTTGTCATTGATTCGTAGGTAAGTTGCGCTTTCCGCTGGAACTGTCGCTGTTGAAGGCTCATCGCGATTCGATATAACGTCACAGTGATTCCCTTTGACGCGATATAGCGATCACTGGCGTAAGACGGTGGCGCGACAGAAGGGTGAACTTAAGGTTCAATGTCCCCCTTTGACAAAGAAATATTCTGCGCGTCTCCGTATCCCCCGTCCGCGCGAATGCTCGTAAAGATCGACGCGATTTTCGCTCACGGCGGGGCTTTATCACGGTTTCTAACACCGATCATCCGTTTTTCCCCCCCGGCAGGCGTCGGTGCCTCGTCGCCACCCTTCGGAAGCAGACGAAGACAAAGCGTCACGACATAAATAATTTATCTCGGAGGCGGTGTCGCGGCGTGACGCAACGCGGCGACGTCGGCGGTGTGCGTTGCATTAAATATGAAATCCAATATAAACTTTCGAACGATATAAATCTAGAGTGCCCACCTGGCCACTGTTGTATCGTCTACGTTCTCCCGCGCAACAGCGCGACAACCCGCTGCTTAATCCTTTAATCATTTCCTGTTCCTCTTTGTAGCCTTGGGTAATCGATAAAAATATATCAATCCAAACTCCAGAGAAGAGAGGACGATATCTGCCTCTCCCGAGGGAGAAATCTCTCGCAGAAGCGGTTTTGCTTTCGCTTCGGAAAAGAATTTATCGTATTTGGCGTTTAATGGAATAAGTTATGGGACGTATGGCGTACGCGCGCAACTTGACGAACGTAAAACTCACCTTGCTGCTTTTCTTCTGCAGGATGCAGAGACGAAGCCGGCGTAGCTCGGAGGTGGAGGTTGCGCTTATGCGCCCTGTAAGCACAGCTGGCTAATAGCCTCGGAGCCCGTCCCCGACACCCTGCAGCCACACCAGGTAGGAATCTTTCGTTTACCTTGTGTACGCGCGTGCATGTACTCTCCGCGTCGCGCGGATAGTCCGCGCGCGCGTTCGCCTCTCGTGTTTTTCCGCACAAAATCAGGATCGCCGCCGTGTTCTCCCGAGCGTGAAAATATCCGTGCTGCGCACGCCCTTACACGCGAGGCGGTAATTAGTCGTTAATCCTTTCGCCCGAGAGAGAGAGAGAGAGAGGGGGGGGGGAGGGAGATTAAGGAACGTTCGTCGAAGCGAAGTAACTTGCGTCAGATGTGCCTGTGAATATGAAATTGTATATATATTCGTTAACTAACGCCTCGCATTTGCACAATTAGATGGTTATTTACGAGCTGATACTGAATCTTTTAGTAGCACACTTGCAAAGTGTTTCTGAAAATGTCTCTCGCCAGACCCGACACGCTGTGCGCCCGTGGGAAATTATCCGGGCATTTTATTTGGAGCACGCGCTTTTTTAATTGCCCTCCCTGAAATCGTGGCGCAGTAACTATCGACCACTTGTCTGTATCGTTGCGAAAGAAATTTCGAAAGTGCCACGCGGCCATTATCGCGCGATAATGGAGAGAATACAAATAGGCTCGTTTACATTACAATTTCGTTTGGTTAGCAATGAGGACACTTTCCTTGGGCTTTCACGGTTCGGTTGTACCAGTGCCAATTGCGAGTGTGCGCAAGGGTAAACATATGCGGACATTGAAATGAACGTTTTCCCGCTGACCGACTATCTGAGATGATAAGAAGTTGAGCGATATAAAAGCAATCTTTCATAATGTCACATATATTTGTATTTAACATTATGAAACTCGAGTTGCCACCTTATCTGTTACATGCGTGTTAACGTTCAGCGAAGATTACTCTCTTTTCGCGAGGAATATTATTCCGGAAGTAACTTTATTTCTCTCCTGCCTCGAGTGCGAATTTGCATCTAAGAGCGCACAACGTTTACTACACATTCACCATTTTTATTTAAAGCGTGTTTGAGACGCGGACGATTGCGTTTTACACGCGACAGTATCGCGCGTGAGGGACGCGCGAATCGAGGCGCTGATAAAAAATATACACGGAGAACATTGCTGTTCGATGAAAAAAAATTAAGTTGCTGGAATTAAATGTTGATGTCACGGGCTGCCACAAACATAAATAATTCGCTCAATTGTACGAGGCATATACGGAAATGAAAGTCACGACATTCTACAAAAATTGAAAAATGCATATTTATTATTGAAACTTATATTCAGTTCCAAGCATTTGGTGAGCCGGGGTATCAACTTTTGTATTCCTTTGTCACACGTTCCTGCCGCCACCTCCCTTGACCATTCACACACGGCATCCTATTCGTCAGTTGAAAAACGTTTTCCACCCATGTGGTCTTTCAAAAGGGTGAAAAGAAACAAGTCACTTGGTGCCAGGTCGGGACTATGGGTAGGATGGTTCAGAATATCCCAACCAAAACTGTTGAAGAGATCGGCCGTTTTTCGTGCGGTGTGTGGCCGAGCGTTATCATGCAACAGACACACCCCCTTTGTCAGCCGACCTCTCCTCTTGTCTTGAATGCCCCGACGAAGCTGATTGAGAAATCAAGATGTTGGCGGGCTTTTCACTTTCAGCGATAGCGAGATATTGGATGACGGCTCGCACTTCACACTTGGCAGGATCGGGAATTGCAGGGTTTATGTCACGACACGATTCTGACGCAACCAATCGAGCTACTGACCCGCCCGACCGCTTTTGTTCCCTTCAGCGAGATTCCTTTTTCATGCAGAAGTGCCGACTTAAAAAAGAAAAATTTCCCTCGGAGCTACGGACACATTGTAACCCTAATTTCCGAATATCCCTCGTATTTGCTATCGATTTTAATTTCAAGCATTGAACTAAATATCCAGATTATTGAGACAACTATCTGGTGTTTCTCATTCATTAACGCTGACGTTGTTTCAACCATGTTATTTCAATTATACTGACATTGTTGATACAGCATCATTTTTCTGTATATGAGAAGGGAGGACAAGCAAAGGAGACGCGTACGGCGAAACGGGGATCCGTCGTCTTCTTTCGCGAGTGCAGCCATGGCACGTATATATCTCAAAGCTATGCGCGCGCGCGTCAATTGCATAATGCAAATCTACGTCGTTCCGGCCGAAAGCTCCGCGGGGGGAAGAAGATCCATCAAAATTCATGGCCGCCCGACGGTGGATGGGGCGCGGAGCTTTCTCGCGCAACGACCGTTTCTTCCAACTGTATTTTTCGGCCGAGCTCCGCGGCGGCAGCACCAGCGGCGGCAACAGCAGCCCCGAATAGCCGCGCCGAGAATCCCCGGCGTCGAATGGACCGAGAAGCGCCCTCCTCGTCCCCCTCCTCCCCCCCCATACATTCCCCGTGTATTCTCGCTGGGAAACAAAGTTTTATCCGTCGTCGCCGGGGCCGAGCGTACGCGCGCGTACGTAGATGTGCCATTTCTCTCGATGCGCGGGGCTTCTTTTCCCCGCCGCGACGCGCGGAGATGCATTTATTCATGTTTCGTCGCTTCTCCTTCATCGCGCCTCGAGACGCGCTGTTCACGAAAGCCGCACTTAAGTGCCGCGCGCTTCTCCGCCTCGTGCGTTCCGCTCGCTCGCAAGTAGGCGCTCGTGTCCGCGGTTACGCGTCAGATAAATCTCGTTCGGCGCTAATCCGCGAGTGGGCAGACACCATACCGGGGTATTTTGCGCTTCCGAATCGATGAACGTGCCACGTGCGCTCGCTCGCGGCCACCGCGCACAACAAAATCCGCCGTAATTCGGTGTAATTTATTCTGACGTAATTTATTTCGGATGTACGGCGCACGGCTGGCATAATCTTCTCCGTGGGACGCTCGACGTAACGCAAATGAACGTATTTTATTTAAGGCAAATAAACAGGTTTATTGCCGCGTATAAAAGCCCGGAGCCGAGCGTGCGCGTGTGTACTTATCGACCGATCAACGCCATCGGCGGCGCGCCGATTATATCGAAATGTTCTTTATACACAGGAGAGTAAAATAAGTATTATTTAATTACTTTTCATGAAATTAATTTGATTTCCGCGTGTCCCGTTGATGAGAGATATTTGTGTTTTTCAACGAGACACGGAGAGAATCCTGGCGCAAAAACGCTGAAATTTCCGTGTTATTTCCAATAATTTGGACTATTGGACAATCGTTCTGCCCCGGCGCCTTCCTTTGCCGGCTGAGAATTCGTTCGGGGCTCCCGGAATTTCGCTGATGAAAGATTATCAAGTTTCCTCGCGCGACGGGCGGCGGTCTCTTTCCATTTTCTCGATCCGCCGCACGAAATTATTCCACGGGACTCTGGCAATAAGTCGGCGGAGTTGCGAATCGACGAATTCTTTTCTATCGCGCTCCCTCAAGCGGACGCACGTGCCGACTCGCTCACACGTGTCCGAATGTCGGATGAATCACTCCCCCGGAAATTGCAGCGCGCACTAAAGACGGGACTCAGAGGTCTTTGACGCAGTGACTGTACTGTCACGGATAGCGCTTGGGGATTATATCAATAACTAATATTATAAAGATGAGAGGTAGAACATTAATAATTCAAGCCGCATTGAAAATATATTTCGCGTCTAGAATAAAACTCAGAGGGATACCTTCGGCACAGTACACTACTGAACACTATACTATAATTTTGTTATACATTTTATTAGTAAACAAATAAGAATATAATTCAATGTCGCCTGCAGTAATTAACAATTTCAATGTTTTCTTTACGATATCTGGCATTTTTAATAATGCAGAAAATTGATTGCGAAAAATATTATCTCAGCCAGGGTTTGAACCTGGACTTACACTCTAGGCGGGCGTCTCAGCAATTCGACACTGAGGCATTTTATTAGTAGCTTAAGAAAAATTGAGACGGGAAACTTATAGTTACTCAACCCAACTGGCTAATTATTTAATCGATTTATTACACAACGTTTCGACCCTATTCTTTTGGGTCCTTTTCGAGTGATACTAAGTCAATCATCGTCGTCGAATAAAACAGAGTCGAGTTATAAAATACGTATACGAGCACTGTGGTAGCTGGGCTCGAAATTAAGAAAAAATTCTCTCCTTGGGGCAATTAATATTTTAGACCCCTAAGTTAGGGGTCCTAACCCACACAAATAATAATAATAGATACCCAATAAAAAAAGAAATTTTGCGCAAGAGTGAGATGTCTTGAACACAATACAATCACTTGACAGTGATACGACACTTTGAGATTATTAATAATTAACATTGTATCGATAGATAACATTGTATCGAATAGATAACACGTAAAAAAGTATCGTGAGAACCGTCTGGTCATGTCGCAAGGTGTGCATCGCATACAGATTTTATAAAAGTATTCCGCACTGTCGCGTTCGATAATCGCGCGCGAATGTCGGGGACGTATCCCATTTCGTCAGAAATCCTCGATAAACACGTTCACCGTGCGCGCGAATCGGCGGTATCGAGTATCGGAGCGACCTTAGTATTTCGCGTAGAAGTCCCCCGACGATTTCAGGCATGAGAGAAAGGGGGAGAGAGAGGGAGAGAGAGAGAGAGAGAGAAGGGGGGGACGACGGGCGAGCGAATGAAGGAGACAGTAGATTGCGAGACGGAGCGAGCGATCCCGCCTTGCATGAATATTCAATATCGAGAGCCGGCGTGATTTCGCAAGCCGCTACTCTTTATCGAAACTTTCTCGTCGCTCGGCACCGTCATCGATAACCGCCCGTGAAAGAAATTCCTTTTTCTCGCGATTCCGCCGCGTCGCTCAGAAAAGCCGATATATATTTATTCTCGCCCTCCTCCTCTCTCTCATTGCTTATTTACGTATCATTTGCTTATTACTTCGCGTTTGTTTATTACTACTGGCTGCTTCATCGTCCGTTACACATTAATTCTATACGTCGAATCGATATTTTAGCTTTTTTTTTGCCGTTATGAAGTTCTCATTGTGTGCAGTACACCTATTGACGGT